GTGGTAGGAGCATGCAGATACTGACAGACTTTGTTAACAGCAAATGAGATATCTGGACGTGTAAGTGTCAAGTATTGTAATGCTCCAACAGTGCTTCTGTACCTTGTACTTTCTGTCTCTTGAAGAGGCTCACCTTCATAAGCTGAGAGTCTTTCTGAAGAGGACAATGGAGTAAGTGCAGGTTTACAGTTCTTCATGCCCATGCGAACCAGAAGCTCATTGGCATATTTCTCTTAATTCAAAACTATGCCATCCTGAGTCTTCTTAACCTCAATGCCTAGAAAGAAGTGTAGATCTCCTAGATCCTTCAAGGCAAACTCTGAGCTCAAATCATGTAGAAGAGCATTAGTAGCATCTTGTGATGAAGTTGCCACAATAATATCATCAACATAGATAAGCACAAAAATGACCACTTTTTCCTTATTGTAAATGAACAGAGATGTATCAGCCCTTGATGCAAAGAAACCAAGACATCTTAATTGAGTGCTCAACCTAGAGTACCATGCTCTAGGTGCCTGTTTTAACCCATAAAGTGACTTGTCAAGTCTGCATACATAATGTGGTGTTTTCTTACTCACATACCCAGGTGGTTGTCTCGTGTAGACTTCCTCTTCCAGAACACCATGCAAAAACGCGTTCTGTACATCCAGCTGACGCAAACTCCATCCCCTGGACACAGCAATAGCTACAACAAGTCTTATCGTAGCAGCTTTCACAACAGGACTAAAGGTATCTTCATTGTCAATACCATAGCGCCGTTTAAAACCCTTTGCAACCAACCGTGCCTTATACCTGTCAACAGTTCCATCTGCCTTCCTTTTAACTCTGTACACCCATTTGCAATCAATAATATTTTTACCTCTCTAGTCTGGCACGAGATGCCAGGTTTTATCTTTCATGAGTGCAGAGTATTCTTCATCCATGGCTTTCTTCCACCTTGGATCATCAAGTGCCGCATTCAACGTTGTTGGTTCACCTAAGATACACAACATACCATATCGTATAGTACCATTAGTACGTATTTTTGGATTCTTTATACCTTTCTGTAGACGTGTAATCTGGTGTTATACCAAGGAGTCGTGTGATGGGTGTTTCAAGTTTGATGACTTTACTAGGAAGCAGGTTGATAAGACATGTAGCAATCAAGAAAGCTTCATCCCAAAACTTAAGTGGCATGGATGCATTAGCTAGTAATGCAAGCCCTACATCAACAATATGACGGTGCTTTCTTTCAGCAGACCCGTTTTGTTGGTGAGCATGAGGGCAAGAAACATGATGAGAAATGCCAAGCTTTTGAAAAAATGAGTTGAGTTTCTCATAGTCACCTCCCCAGTCTGTTTGCATGGCAATAATTTTAGAGTTCAATTTGCGTTCAGCAAGGTTTTGGAAGTTGATGAAAACTTGGAATACATCTGATCTTTTCTTTAACAAGTAAATTTACTATAGTCATCAATGAAGCTTACATAATAGGAAAATCTTCCAACAGAAGTGGGGGCTGGCCCCCATACATCTAAAAATATGAGTTGCAATGGTGCAGTGGACACACTAGTAGAGATAGGGTAAGGTAATTGATGACTTTTTGCTTGTTGACACGGATCACAAACTGACTCAACACTAGGCTCATAAGAGAGCTTATTCTTGCTAAGGACATATCTAACAATAACTGAGGACGGATGACCCAAGCGACTGTGCCATTTTGCTGAGGATGGCTTGGTGACGAGATATGCTTGCTTATTTGATGCTGATGATGATGATGATGATATGAGTGGGTAGAGACCTCCCACACACCGTTCTCTAAGAATGATTCTCCGTGTGACCAGATCCTTAACCAAGAAAAAATAGGGATGAAACTCTATGAGAACATGATTATCACGAGTGAATCGATGAACAGAAAGAAGATTTTTTGCTGCTTCAGGAACATGTAGAATATTTTTCAGATGTAAATTTTTGATGGGGTTTTTAACAATTGAACTACCAATATGTGTTATTGCCATACCAGAACCGCTTGCCGTGTGGATTTGATCGCCTCCGTTGTACTTCTCTCGCATCGTTAGCTGATCAAGTTCTCCTGTGATGTGATTGGTGGCTCCCGTATCGGCATACCAATTGGTATCTACGCCGTAGGTGGCTGCATGCGCCGCCTTCTCTTCTGGTTCTCCATCTTCATAGCGCCACCAGCAGAGCCGCGCCCCCCTGGATGATATTTGAGGCATATCTGACACTCAGGGTTGTCGCGCTGCTGCTGGTCACACATCTGTTGCGGCTGGTTTTGTCGCTGGCGTCCTCTGTAGCCGTTTGCACCGCGAGCAGGAGACGGCTGCCGATCTCCACGGCCGCGCCCCCTTGTGCCACGCCCGCGGTAGGGTTTCCCGCGACCTTGGCCGCGACGACCTCTGTAGGCCGCGTTTGCTCACGTGTGGGGAGCCACCAGAAGATGCATAACATCTCCATTCTCTGGTCGAACGCAGAGATTTGGGCAAAGAGGTCGTCGGTGGTGATCGTGTTCTTGATGGCGCCAATCGTCGCAACCACGGGATCGTAGTCACAGTCCAACCCTTCCAGGATGTAGTCGACCATCTCCGGGTCAGAGACCGGACGGCCAGCGGCTGCTAGCTCATCGCCAAGGCTCTTCATCTTGGCCATGAAGGCGGAGCTTGACATGGTGCCCTTTTTTGTGTTGGTGATCGCAATTCTCAGGTTTGTGATCCGAGACACTGTCACCGCTGTCCACAACTCGAAGGTGGAGTCCTTCCCGATGACCTGCGCAAGTATCTCTGGAGTCATGGAGTTCAGAAAATATGAGAGCACCTGTTGATCTTTGGCGATCCAGGCCGCATACAGCGGGTTCGGCACCATGGCCGTGGTCTTGTCTGCTTGTGTGGTCTCCACCATCTTGGGCGGAGCTGCGTCGCTGTTGTCCAGCAACCCAGTCACCTGCGCACCTCGCAGGGCTGGTAGGATTTGTGCCTTCAAGAGGATGAAGTTTCCTCTTGCAAGCTTCTCAGTCGGCGGCGATTGTGGTTTGTGGTTCTTTGTTGTGGCTAGATGTGTAGGGAAGAGGTGGCTCTGATGACCATGTTAAGTTTTGGGAAGCGTTCCTACTCCCTCGTAAGGGAGCCGCGATGGTTTATATTGATACGAGGCAGAAGCCCTGCCGTGGCTTACAAGTTGATGCAACCGATCGCCCACGATACGGTTGTTACAGAGGTTTTTGAGATAGCTACGGGAGAGAGGGAGAGAAGATATGTTGTTGAGATTACAAGTGAAGATAAACATAAATTCCAACACATGTAAGATCGATCATGATTATTTTGGATCAATGTTTATACCACTTCCCCGTATGTTAATATACGAGACATCGATTGCTTGTGAAAAATATTACAAATATGTCCTCGATTCCATAAAAGAATTTTGTTCCATCTATGTGATTGTGATGTTCCTGAAACGTATGATCACTTGTCTATTGTCCTCTTGCGTCTGAAATATTGTTGCTCATCCTAGACAAGAATAGTAATTTTGGTCTATCCTTCCCATCCAAGTGTGGAAATAAAGAAAAATTCATATACAGTAGATTTTAAAAGTGATGTGTTGGCCTTATCAAAAGCTGCTTAGTTGTCTCATCTCTTGCTCGGAATTGGGGTGTTGAAAATATCAAGCAAGGATGTCCATATGCTACTAATCGTACACCTCCTCTTCATAATAGTTGACTTTACAAATTCAAGCCCATTTGAGAAATATTACACTTTCTAATATGACACTTATTTTGAAACTTGGAATGTAGGGAGTATATGACACAACAGATTGTGATGCCTAGTGTGAGCGACAATGATCCATTTTTCCGTACGAGTTGTCCGACAAAATAATGTCGATGCAAGACGGCGCAGCAAAGCACGCTTTTGCCTCTAGTAGAGATGAACAGTGGAGGAAGTTGACGTCCGGAAGGAAGCGAGAAGCGGCTGAAGTCGGTCAAGTTTTTCCTTTCAAGGATAAGTCGGTTAAGTTTTTGTTTTTTTGGGAAGGGTTAAGCCGGTTAAGTGATCCATAGATAAATTGATAATTAGGCCAACAGCCTATTAGTAATTCATTGTGCACCTAACCCTAACCCAGACGCGAGATAGGAGAGGTGTTTAACGTGTACTCGTATTGGATTCTATCTCTTGTTCTGGTCTAACTCTTCTACCGACCTTCTGTAATTCCATGATGAATCCTATAGCGATCTCCTTTCGTGTAAGCCACGGCTGTTCTCTTATTAATACAGACCACAAGCGGGCCTCAGGGGTTACACGCTTCCATCGTACTCCCTCCGTCCCAAAACAGCGATTCCGATGTCGCCCTTCGGGAAGTTCTTGTTCTGCTTGACCCTGTTGGCCGCATGGCGCCTCAGCTCGACCCTGTTCGCCGAGGCGCCTCCAGCTCCTGGTGTCGACTCCGCCTCCAGAAACGCATCGTGCTTGGCCCTCGCCAGGGAGGCCGGCGTCCGGGCGGAAGGCGGCACGGCGCGCAACTTCGTCATCTCGCCGCTGTCCATCCACGCGGCGCTCGCGAAGGTGGCCGCGGGCGCGCGGGGCGACACGCTTAACGAGCTCCTGCGGTTCCTCGGGTCGGCGTCGCTCAACGAGCTGCACCGCGCGGCGGCGACCAAGCTCGTCGGCAGGCTCAACGGCATAGCGCAGACGTCCTTCGCCAGCGGCGTGTGGGTGGACCGGATGCTGGCGCTCAAGCCAGAGTTCACGGCCATCGCCGCGTCGCGGTACAACGCCACGGCAGAATCCGTGGACTTCGTGTCGGGGGCCGAGCAGGCGAGGCAGCGCGTGAACGCCTTCGTGGCGGACGCGACCAACAAGCACATCCTCGAAGTCCTGCCTCCGGGCTCCGTCGGCTCCGGCACGGCGGTCGTCCTCGCCAACGCTCTCTAGTTCAAAGGGGCGTGGACACAGCCGTTCGACGTCTCTACCGCGCCGTTCCACATCCCAGGCGGCATCACCGTGCGCGTGCCATCCATGACGACAAGCGAATCACAGCACATCGCGGTCTACCCGGGCTTCACGGCCCTCAAGCTGCCGTACAAGAACGACGTGCAGCAGCAAGCTGAATTCTACATGCTTATCCTACTACCGGACAGCGAGACTGAGATCGCCGATCTGTACGACAAGGCCGTGTCAACGCCGGAGTTCATCAAGACGCACACGCCGACAGTGAAGGTTCCAGTCGGGCGGTTCATGGTCCCAAAGTTCAAGTTCACGTCCAAGTTCGAACTGTCATCCGACATGCGGAAGCTTGGTGTCACTAGGGCTTTCGAAGGCGGCGACTTCTCGGGCATGATGACCGGCGGGGAAGGGCTTTCCATCAACGCGGTGTACCACAAGGCCACTATCGAGGTGGATGAAGTTGGCACCGTGGCCGCCGCTGCCACGGCCATCGTCGGGTTTGGTAGTGCAGGACCGGGGGCACCACGGGATCTGGTCGATTTTGTGGCGGATCGACCTTTCTTATTTGCCGTGGTAGAGGAGGGGACAGATGCAGTTTTGTTTCTTGGTCACGTGGCTAATCCTCTCACTCACTAGATGAATAGTAAATAATTATTTATAAAATGTGGAACCCTTTGATTGTTGAATGAATTATTGTAACATTGTTCGCTGGTCATGTGATTAATCGTGCCACCTAATGCGGAAGACATGCCACAACACTGTGTCTCACACACCGTTACGCCATATAGGCAAAAAGTGAGACCCATTTGTCATGAACGTGCTCAAAATACTTTCATCCACCGACCAATGGTTTCCACACAAAAATACTGTACAATAGTGTTATTGCCATAAAAATTCGTAAAGTCATGTTTTCCAATCGTACTTCGTTAATGAACCAATCAGCCAAAAAAACAGTTTTGGGAGGATTCTAGTCCTTAGGGATTTGATGCGCGTTATTGGAATCTTGTAGTTTTTTTTTCATAGGATTCATTTGTACTCTATTTTGATGGGAAAAAATCCATCCACTCAAACCTCTTGCAAAAACTTCTTTGTTTGTCTGGGCTATCAAATTCTTTTCTATCCAAATTTCTGTAGTTTTGTAATCCTACAGAATACAAAAGGACATGTTACTCTGCCCCCACATTTTCCGTATTCATGTATTTAGAAAATCCGGCAAATCAAGGAGGACATCTTCTAACTACGTCAGATAAAGAGAACCAAACATGACACACATTTTCCGTACAACAACAAAACAATTGATAAGTGATGATATATACAAAAACTAGCTAGCCCGGTTACGAACACTCCTGGATCTAAATCATGTGTTTGTGATATTTTTTTAATTGTTTGATCCGCGGAATTGAACACTGTCTGTTAGTCAGGACTCTAGAGTTTAGACTCACGCAAAACCGCTGAAGGAGATAACGTGTGGGTTGAGGGTAAAAAATCTCAGGAGCGGGCGGGGACCCGGCGATCTTCTTGGTACGTACATAGGCTAGGCATAGTTTTCTGCGAGGAAGAATTTGAGTGGCCCCAAGTCCTTGAGGGACACGGCGGCGTGTAGTCTGCTGATGAGCTGGTGCAGAAGCGTCTCTGAAGAGGCCGTGAGCACTATGTCATCAACATAGAGTAGTAAGTAGGCGATGCCGTGGCCGTTCTTGAGGACAAATAGAGACGCGTCAGAGCGCGTCGCCGTGAACCCCAGTTGAGAGAGGCAGCCAGCGAACTTGGAGAACCACGCGCGGGATGCCTGTTTAAGCCCATAGAGAGACTTGGAGAGGAGGCACACGTCAGATGGGCGCGAGGCGTCGACGAACCCCGCTGGTTGTTGGCAGTAGACATGCTCGGAGAGCTCGCCGTGCAGAAACACATTTTTGACGTCGAGCTGATGGACTGGCCAGGACCGAGCGGCCGCGAGCTGGAGCACGAGGCCAATCGACGCAGGCTTCACGACCGGGGAGAATGTGTCGGTGTAGTCGATCCCCGGGCGCTGAGAGAAACCGCGAACGACTCACCGCGCCTTGTACCGGTCGAGGGAGCCATCGGGACGGAGTTTGTGCCGGAAAATCAACTTGCCTGAAATGATGTGGGCGCCCGGCGGCCGAGGAACGAGCGTCCACGTGCGGTTCACACAAAGGGCATCATACTCCTCTTGCATGGCGAGGCGCCAGGCTGGGTCACGAAGAGCGGCTACCACGGACGTGGGTAGTGGCGAGGGAGCAGCAGTACCGGCCGTCAGAACATAGTCGGCATCATACTGTGTGTTGCGCCGACGGACGCCAGCCATGGCACGGGTAACCATGCGGTGAGCAGGGGCCGGCAGTGTTGGAGAGGAGGCCGGCGCTGCACTCGGGTCGGTGAAGGGCGATGGCGAGCTCGGTGTAGCCGCGACGCTGGAGGAGGCGGACGAACCAGCGGGTGAGGACGGCGGCGAACCAGCAGGTGCGGACGGCGGCGAACCAGCGGGCGAGGCCGCAGCCGTGGCACCCGAAGGAGCAGGCGAATCCGCTGCCCCGACAGACGAACGAGCGGACGAAGCCACTGTTGGGGTAGCAGAACGAGCGGAGGAGGCCACGGTCGTGGCAGTCGAACCAGATGGCGACGTGGGCACCACGACAGTAGAGCATGCAGGCGAGGGCGCGGCCATAGGAGATGATCCGGGCGAGCTCCCAAGTGACGAGGGGGCCAGTGCAGGACCCGAGGTGGCCGTCCCCGGGGGCGATGGAGGTGCCGGTGGGGCGCTAACATGGGCGCGCCGTGTAGCGCGTGGGGGGACGACGGTCGCGGCGCTGTCGTCGTAGTGGAGAGCCGGTGACGGGGCCGACGAGGGGGCGGCGACGTTGGAGACCTGCGCAAAGGGGTAAACGTGCTCGTCGAAGAACATGCTGCGTGAGAGATAAACACGGCCTGTCTATGGGTCAAAGCACTTGTAGCCGGCGTGATCGGGTGGGTAGCCGAGAAAAACGCACGCCCGCGACCGGGGGGCGAGCATGTGCTGAGAAGTGGCGGTGGTGTTCGGGTAGCACAGGCAACCGAAGACACGGAGGTGTTGATAGGGGGGAGGGGAACCGTGGAGAAGCTCGAACGGGGTGGTGAGCTGGCGTGGGCGACATGGCCGGCGGTTGAGGAGATAGGTGATGGTGGCGAGGGCGTCGGGCCAGAATGTGGTACGGAGGGAGGCATGGAAGAGGAGGTTGCGTAGGCCCTCGGTGAGGGTTCGAATGATACGCTCGGCGCGGCCATTCTGAGGCGAAGAGTAGGGGCACGAGAGTTGGAAGGCGATGCCGTGTTTGGCGAGGAAGGCGCGGAAGCCACGGTTGTCGAACTCACGACCGTTGTCGGTGCGAAATGCAAGAATGGGTCGCTGAAATTGTGTGCTAACAAACGCATGGAATGTGACGAGGATCTCAAATACGTCAGATTTTCGGCGAAGGGGGAAAGTCCAGGCATAATGCGTGTGATCATCCAGGACAACCAAAAAATATGCAAAACCAGAGTTACTAACGATTGGAGAGGTCCATACATCACAGTGTAATAAGTGGAAGGGAGAAGTAGCAATGGTGGAGGAAGCAGAATACGGCTGCCGAACACTTTTGCCTATCTGGCAGGCATGACAAGTATGTGCCTGCGTTTTATTACACTGAAAATCAAAGGAGGAGGTTATTGTAGAGAGCTCAGCACGTCCAAGATGTCCCAGTCGCTGATGCCACAAATCGGTGGAGACGGCGACAAGCAAGGCATGAGGCTGCTGGACGTTGGCGGCGGGGCAGAGTGGGTACAGATCACCAGAGCTGTTACATCGGAGGAGCACCGTCCCGGAAATGAGATCCTTAACAGAGAAGCCAAATGGGTCAAATGAGACAGCAACATAATTATCACGAGTGAATGCACGAACAAAAATCAAGTTCTTAATAAGATGAGGAGAAATCAGTATGTTGCGGAGAGTGAGTGGAGAGGAGGATGTGGGAATAAGAGCATCGCCAGAGTGGGAGACGGGCATGATAGCACCATTGCCAATGATGATGCCGGGATGAGTGGATCAAGAAGAGGAAGTGGAGAGCATACCGGGGTCAGCGGCCATATGGGAGATGGCCCCTATGTCGAAGAACCAGTCCCCACCGCCAGAATAGGGCTGCGGCATCGACATGAGGGCAGTCTGGAGCGAAGACATGTCCCAGGAGGCGCCAGAAGGTGTGATCGAGGCGCCAGGGCCATTGGAGGCGAGAAGACCCTGGGCGGTGGGGCGGGGGCGCGGCATCACCGGCCAGGCTTGAAAAGTGTCGGTCCAGGGGTTGAATCCGGGGTACCAGGACGACGGAGAGCGCGCGCCGGCACCGAAAGGGGGACCGGTGTTGGGGAAGAAGCCGGGAGCAGATCCGCCAGCCCCGCCAGGGCCAGAAGCCGCGCCATAACCAGCGGTGCTGCCTGCACCGCCGGGGCCGCCGTTGCCACCCTTGCGGCGCCTGCGTCCATGGTAACCGTTGTTGGAGGAGCCGAGGGCGGGAGGGGCAGGAGCCAGTGGGCGCGCCGCGGTGGGCGCGGGCGCCGTGGGAGCGCGAGCCGCGGCGTGGAGAGCGGTGGCCGACTCGTGAGCCGCGGCGCGATCGATGCGCCACTCTTCCTGGAGGAGATAAGAGCGCGCCTGGACGGACACGAGGCACGCCAGGCTCCATTCCGTGGAAGGTTGGTTTTACGAACGTAGGGGGTTACAAAACCCAGGAGAGGAGAAGGAAACTGGAGCAGAGCCAACTACAGGTGCTGCACGAAAGGGTACAAGGGCTAGAGGAACAAGAAGCAGATCGCAGCAAACGACCTGCCGAAGCTTCCCCCGAAGCTACCCCGCCAACTCAGCAGAGAAGCAGCGTGGCTTCCACCGAGCTGCTTCAGCCGGAGCATGTCTTGATGGCTCCTGCTAGCTACCCCGTGGATTTTATCACGGAGGCTCAAAATTTCCACCTTATGACGCAATGGCAGAACTTAAAAGTCAAGGCGGCTGTCGGCCAAGTTCGACCTACTGAACCCGGCGCAACTTTTCACTATCGTCTGATTCCAGAAGGATATGCTAGGGTGACTGTGGACGAAATAACGAAGGGATTTGAGGACCTCCATCTTGACCACCCTACCGGTGAAGGGGAGACTTGGCTGGGTTCTGCTCTGAAGACTCCATGCCTATGGCGGAAGGAGTTCATCAAGCTTCCGAACTGGACGCCTCCTCCTCCTCCTCCGGCGAGTCAGGGCACTCCGCCTCCTCCACCGCCTCCTCCTCCAGCGAGTGATGATCAGGGCACTCAGCCTCCTTCTCCGGCGCGTGGCGGCACTCCGCCTCCTTCTCCGCCTGCGCCGGCGCGCCCGAGCAGCCAGCAGCCTCCTCCTTCTCCGGCGCGTGGCGGCACTCCGCCTCCGTCTCCGCCTGCGCCGGCGCGCCCGAGCAGCCAGCAGCCTCCTCCTTCTCCGTCTCGCCAGCAAGGGCGGAAGAGACCCGCCGCCGCCCCGGCTGCTCCGGCGCGTCGTAGTCCTTCTCCTCCGCCTCGTAAGCAAGCACGAAAGAAGACAGACGCCGCAGTCGCTCCGCCTGATCCGGCGTCTAGCAGTACAGC